ACACGCGAAAACGGATACGGAGTTGTCAGAAAATCTTCAAAATGAAAATCTTCCAACATTGATGATTCATCCTAGTCCTAAAGGAAGAAAAGCAAGATTTTCAAATTCACAATTTGCAAACTAAAAGTTTACAAAATCTGAATCCAAAAACTATTTAGTTGTCAGAATTAATAATGAAGAGTAAAACTCAACATCATTAAATCTAAAGGCATAATATAAGCAATGAATTGCAGAAGTCTTTTTCTACAAAACATAACTCATTGAACATAATAATAAAATATTAAAATATATGTATGAAGTGAATAATAGATTGGATTTTCGCAATTTGAATGAGGTCGAGTTTCCATTATCAAAGAAAGTTGTTAAAAGAAACCAAGAGCTCAGAAATATTGTGAAAAATAACACGAAATCAATCTTGAACGAGAAGATAACTTGACCGTTTACTAAGTCTGAAACTTAGAATTCAATCAAGTCACTACCAGCGATGACGATGTTCTTCTAAATAAAAGAGAAAAAAATATTCGATTTGCATACTTCTAATAAACAGCACATAGCAGTGAACAAAAAGGTTCACAAACTAATTGAAGTTTAATGATAGTTATACAAATCGATTTTTGTCTATAAAAAAATTGTTAATGCAACAATTTCGAAAATTTCAAAAAGGGTCTATTATCTTTTTGAAATTTGCTACCATTGCACTAAGGCCGACATTTAAAGAAGTTTTTGTTGAAAATCGTGATTTCATAAAACATTATTTTGGGGATAAATAATGTGATATGTAATAAGATTTTATAAAAACTTCATTGAATGACGTTCGAGGGGATTTTTGCAAAGTGAATTGCAAAAAATATGCATAATTTACATGAAATAGTTATGTGAAATATTGTATATATAATGGTGTATATGTATATAGTTCCAAAAAGTGCAACGCATTCAACAGATTGTATTTGAACCATTTGCCTTCAAATACAACCATCGCGTCGTAACACTAATTGATGAATATTAAAAAAAAAAGTTATATTCACCTTTTGCAAAATTTGATTTTGCAGTTTATACTTGCGATTCCGTTTGGCCAGCCAATTGAACTTCTACGATGATATCGGGTTGCTTGATTCCTAAAACCGCAAAAGGCGATATTAGAAAACCCGGGTGATCTCTCGTCTCTGAGCAGCGTCTGGACAGGAACTGGGTATTTGGCTGCATCTTTTTCACTACCGAAATTTCAGAGCTTAGTGATTTTTTCCTCCAAGTATCAAGTCTCGCCGAAAAAGTCGGACGAACCTCGAATACTTCGAGCCACAAGCAATCTGAAACGAGGGATGTAACACGACACGATGATCGCGACGAGCAAAAGAAGCAATTCAAAAGGGCTGGACATCGAACAAATGCCCAGACCTCGCATCGCTTCGGAGTAATTTAATCGCGTTTTTTAGTCGGCAAATCTCGGTCGATCGATCGCAGTGAAGGAGAGCGTAATAGCGCGAAACTAAATTCTCAAGAAACTTGCCGACTGATCGTTTCCAGTCGAGAAATCGCTCGAACTGTAAACGACCCCTCGAGCACCCTAAACGTCATGTCTTGAAAATGTCGAGCATTCTTGAGGTGTGCTAAACACTGATACAAAAGTTTATAAAATATAAACATTTGAATTGTTATGTATAAATGTTTCATGATTAATGAGCATAAACATTAACAATGAAGATTTGCACGATGAGCATTACGATACAATTGTTCGACGAAATTACAATAAATCATCGTAAGTGAGTTTTCATGCTACAATGTAAACTCGATGTTTTTATACGTCGCAGACAATCAACATATGTTCACATTATTAAACGAAGATGTACATGTATCATGTATATATAAATAAAAAAAATCCTAATACTTATAATAAAAAAGAAAGGAGAGTTGTGCAGCAGATCGATATTATACGCGTAAATGCACTAGCACACACGATAAATCGCATTGCACTGCACAACCACCAATCTCAAAATAATATTCAAATGCATAAATATCAATATATTATATATGGTATGTGAATATTTATATATAATATAAATAATTACTTATATTCATAAAAAATTGTTTTTATAAAATAAATGTATGCGTTAAGAACAAATAAGCGAAAATGTATATTACACGTGGTTAGTAAAAAAAAGTAAGTCGCTTCTCATCTGCTCGACTACTACATAATAATTGCCACTGGATCTCAATTCATCCCAGTAGAATAAGCGATCCAGCCGAGTGAATTATTTTATGAATGAGAAGCATCAATTTGAGAAGTCTATGTACGAGCAAACGAGATAAAGAATGTGAGTTAGAGAGTGTAAGATAATAAAACAACTACCGAAAGGAAGCAATAGCATGCAGAGAACGAGTAAAATTACGCAAAATAGCACAACTATTTTTTGAATAAAAAAATATTATGCTTTTGCAAAATTTTGTGGGTTAATTACTTAGGTACTTTTAGTATTTTGTTTCTTTTAAATAACTGGAGTAAAGCAACGTATCACTTGGGGAGCAGCGAACTTCGAGGCATGGCTTGAATATTTACGTACATATAATTGAGAAAGCGATTTGAAAGCCGAAAGACGCACAAAAAACAGGTTTCTCTACGGACAATTCCGCACTTGCGAGAATGAAAAGAGCGCTTGTAAGAGGATATAAGAAAAAAACTAGGAAACAAAGGGGGTTCAACAAGAAAAAGGGTAAGAGAAATAAAAAGGATGAACGAGTGAGACTCGTTCGCGTGCAAGAGGGAAGCCCGACAGACCACCACTTGGCCTTGTAGCATAAGATTTTGCAGCGCAAGTTTCGCCTCTTTCTCGTGCGAGAGAGCCTGAGAAAAATCCTGTTTTTGTTAAACGCGAGACTTTCGGTTTCGCATTGGATCTCATACTGACAAAAATAAAAGGTAACGAAGTTGTACAGTTCCTGACGGTGATACGTTACTCATATCGTCAGGAGCTTTTTTTCCAGCCCATCCACTATACGAACATGAAGTGAATCGATCAAATTCAAATGCTTTCTATTTCCTTCGATTTTCGGCAATGAATTAATAGTAAATTGGTTTAGCGAGAAAAAAAACTCGTGGGATATTTAGAAAGGGGGATTCATAAGTCGAAGCCGCAGAAGATACGACGAGAAGGCAACAATGTGCATAACGTACAATTGAGAAGCTTATAAATTGTACGCTACGATTGTCACACAATAATGCTTTTCGACGCGTCGGATCTGCATTGGCTTCGGAACATAAAAATATTGTATTCAGAGAATGACTGCGTAACAGCGTGGTACAATCTTCTTAGTGTCAACAAATGTCAAGAGAAAATTAATTCCAATATCCAAATCGCGATCGCATTAGTGCGTCGTATAAGAATAAAGACTCAATTAAAAAAAAAATTAAAAAATAAAATAACGAGAGCAATAAAATTCGTGAACGTAATAGAGAATGTAATTCGCTCTCTCAAGGTGGCCGAATCTTTGGCGGTGACAGAACGACCTCCGCCATCAATGCGAGCACCCAAAATCATATTTGGAAAAAATTATTTTATACGATTAAAAAAAATACACGTTAAAACAACGCTCGCAGAGCCTCTCCTCAAAGACCTGAGAGCGGTTCGCTAAAAAAACCAAGGAGAAAATTTCATCGCGCTGGCATTGATGAAAAAGTTCGCCTCTCTCTCTCTCTCAGCAAATTACCTTGATGATCCCACGTCGTAGAAGCAGCGACCTCGTAAAAAAGGCAACCATCTCTCTAAACGCGCGCTCTCCTCTTGGAAACGTGTAATATAATCAAATGAAAATTGTGTTGGTTTTAAAGCTCGTTTTTTTTGTAAGAGGCCTGCATTCTCAGAACTAAACACGAATGTAATTGTTAGTTCCGAGAGCGTCTGTGGTCTCGAAAAGAATAGAGTAATAAAAAACACGTTCCCTCCACAGCTGCCGGCAGTTACAGATATTCGTACTGGCAGTTGTGGACCGATATTGAGGGGAACGCCGAGCACATACGAATACCAGTTCAATTTGTTAGCCGAGGTATTTTAGCTTGGGGGAACGACGAAATGATTGGGTTACGACTCACGTTTAAGCTCTTCAAGCAAACTCAATGCATGTAGACTTCTTTAGTTTTCAACGCAGTCAAGTACGATGAATGAAGTCCCATTTGATGAAACATCTTTCAAAAAACTCAAATGCGATAAAAAGAAAAAAAGGAAACATGATTGAGGTTTATCTGAGATTCTTCAACGAACATACGGTAGTAAAAAATATCACGACCTCGCAGTATTCTTGATAGCATCATTTTTCATAATGTTCGTATTTTCTTCGTTGATGTTAACTTCAGCGCATCGTAGCAAGATTAGAAAATTTGCGTAAGCATACGAACGAGTTCACTCGAGTTCGTTGCTCTCAAGTTTTCCTAGAAAATAAACGGGGCACGCGAAAAATTGTTGGGTCATTTGACGATTTTTGCCTTGAGAGGTTGCTGATCTAGTGCATGTACGGAGAGAGAGAGATAACAAATAATAAAAAAAATAAAACATAAATGCAATAAATAAAAATATATGTCACGAAGAATAACGATAGAGGAGATGGGTACATTGAATTTGCTAAAATCAATTCTTTTTAAATAAAAACAAAAAAAAAATTAGCAAAATTATACGCGCAATGTTACACATAAAATAATAATATGATAGTGAAGAGATTTTTTTAGAACGAATAGATGATTTGAAATTGTGTCAGAGACTCGGCTACACTTAAGAGATTGATTCTGACGTAATTTGATTATTATACCACACTGTTCCAACAGTTTAGTTCAACTTGGACCAAACCAGTTCAGTATCGGCTGCAATGGTTTTCTCATTATTTAAATTGAATGGCTTCTCCATTAAAATAGAACTTTAAAATGTTGCAGAGAAAATGTTTCATACTCATTGCAAGGCAACGATAATCGAACACAGGATTGTTCCAGGTGATAATAATGGCGTGACTTTGCCTACCTTGTGAGTCCCGTTGTGCAGCGTTTGTTTCGTGGGCATTCATGAAAACAGCATCATCAGCTCCCTGAGCTCCACCTGCTGCGCCAACGCCTGCATTGCTTCTATCACTTGTTATGTGCCACGACGCGAGACCTACGTAAACAGATAAAAGGCATTCATAAACTCAAATTCATTTCATCTTGGTGTGTTGATAGAACCGAAATCAGTTTTTAATGTATCTATTTCGTAGAAAGAATCTTTGCAAAATTGTACAGTCAATCTTGCAGAAGACATGTACGAATTTTACTATCCCAGCGGACGCAAAAGCCAGGTTGTAAAAAAGCCAAGCTTTTATTAGACGCTGGATAAAGCTTCGCACTCTTTCACACTACAGCATCATTAACTCAAACGAAAAAATATTTATATCCAAATTAATTGGTCAAGAAGTTTAAATTTAATATTTTGAATGGAATATCAGTCATTACAAAAAGTGAAACATGGTACCAAGATTACAATTAATCGAAGAATATTCTTGGCAGAGGTGTACTTTCTGTACGACTTCAAAAATGTTTGACCTTTCACTGATATGTATAAATTCAATAAAACATTTTTTTCAATCAAGAAAATGATGACTGCAGTGAAAAAAGGAATGATACAATTTCTAGTAAGTTGCAGATGATCAGCTTAAGATTTAGATGATATCATTAACTCTTACCAGGATGGGAAGAATCATGACTTGGGCCTGCTCTGCTGTTGTCTTGTTCCATTTCATTGAGGTCGTTCATGTCATCATCCAGGTGCGTGAGATCTTCCACGCTTTCCTGGTCTTCCATGTATTCAGACTTTGGCTGTATCATGTCTTCAGTGGGCTCTGGCTTTTCCATTTGCATCTATGAAGTTGAAAAAAATAAAGTAAAATTAGTTTAAAAAATATGCTAAAAAATTTAATTATAACGATATATTTTAGGATTCTGTATCATATCGTTTCCGCTCTACAAAAACACAGTTATAAGATTTCATGCAGAAGGATATAATATGAATTTACTCTGCCAGCGAAGCGAAGAAGAGAGGATATTAAACTTCACCAAACTCTATTAGACGCTGGCATACATAAATCATTAAAATTATCAGAAGTAGGATATTGACTCACTTGAAGCATATCGTCGTTGGATTTGGTAAGTTGCTGCATGAGTGCTGACCTGCCGATCGGGTCCGCGGATTCGGCATGACTTTTATCTTCAACAGTAGGCGCGGCCATCACGGTCGCACTTGCTGTCACATCACTCGAGTTAGATGCTTCATGATTTTCCATTGAGTTGGATTCATCATTGCCCAGACTACGCCTGCGAGCACGCCTTTTTCTTGTGGGGCTAACTGATCCTTCCCTGTTGAAAAGAATGAAAAAAATCAGTATGATATTGAAGTTGTAAAATAATCCAATTTAAAATCAAATAGCAATAAATATTACCTTGATGAGATACCCCTGACTTGTTGAGGGCTGGCACCACCCTCTGACATGTTTGCTGATGTCTGTGTAAGCCTTTGCCTAGGAACTTTGTTGTTCTTCTCAATTGTAAGACCGGAAGACCCTTGTGGAATGTCTACGGCCGTCGTAACAGCATTCGATGTACTCGTTGCCGTTGATTTAGGTTCTACCCTTCCAGCCACTGTACTGTTATTAGAAGAACCTGTTGTTTTACTATCAGACAGGCCTTTAATTTGTAACGACTCCGCGGCCTTTAACAGCGCCGTTAACTGGTTTTGGGAAATGTTTACTTCTCCCCTGTACATATAGTCCATCATAGCCTTTAATTCTACAAACTTTACATCCTTGAGTATGAAAACTGGGTGTTTGTCGTAGTGTTCACTCAAGAGACCCTGTAATACATAACAAAAATTGTAAGTTTCATAATCCTTTCATTTTTTGGTCATTTAATTTTGAAAAATTTCAAGTCTGTATCATATCGTTTCCGCTCTACAGAAACACAAGTATTAGATTTCATGCAGAAGGATATAATATGAATTTACTCTGCCAGCGAAGCGAAGTCGAGAGGATATCAAACTACACCAAACTCTATTAGACGCTGGCATACATAATTCATAATTAATTAAAAATAGCTTATTGCTACATATCAAACTCATTTGGGGAAAATATAAGCAGTATGTAATTATAAGTAATAAATTTAAGATTGGGCAATAGAGTGTTTGACCTGAATCTTATAAAAACAGGAACAGATTGCAATAAAAAGCTTTACTATCATGGAAATCTTGCCAAGTTAGGTCTCACAAAAGGTTCACTGCAGCTGCATCATAAGGAAGAGGAAGAAAGAGATGAAGAGAGAGAAAGAGAGGGGAGAATAGGGGAGAAGAGTAACAGCAGTATCCCCTCCAAAGAACCCAGGCACAAGCACGCCCAGGCAAAGTTGCCCTGGAAAGCAGCCATCTTGCTTTCCCTGGGTTATTGATCAGGCAAGCGAGAACGCCGGTTTGCGTGCTTGCAAAGAGGGGCAAAGCGGGTACTTGACTCTTTTCCCTCATTGCAAGCGATTTTCATGACGCGGCGATGTCGCAGCCATTTCAAGCAACTCGAGTTCTTATGATTGAAATCATGGTCAGAAGATAATTTTCATGATAAAAGCTCGATTGTTAAAACATGAGAATCAAGTATTATGTTGAAGCAAACAAAGGTTGAGCAAGGAATTTTATATCAGATTAGAATCAAACTTATATGAGTCTACCACTATATTATAAAGTAAAAGATTTCATTTATGCTCATTCATGCACAGATAAGATATGTAATTGAAATGAACTTAAATTAACGATACATACCTCAAAGTATGGACTACAGGCGGAGAGGACGACTTTGTGGGCCTTTAAATATCTCCCCTCCGCCGCCAGCGTGCAATCCACTAATGTGCCAGATTCCAATAATGTGTCGAAATTTCTTATGAGGGTTGATTGGTGATTATGCCATTTAAGGCAAAATTGTGTTTCGTCGTCCATCTTTCACTCCAATAATATCTGCGAATAACAAGACGAAAAGGTTTATACAACACTGGCTACGATGTCATTTGTTATAAAGTTTAAACGCGCGACTCTACGGTATAAAGCTCCAATTTAGAGCAACGAAGCTTCCAAAATGGCCGCAAGTACGCAAAGTCGAGTTGTTTCTGCGTTGTTTGCTGCTTTGACCCGGCAGCCAGCAAGAAAGACACGGGTGGGGGCTTTGAAGGAGAGAACAACGGGCGCGCAGGCGCTCTGGCGCTCGGCCACGATTAAGTGGGAGAGGTAAAGAGTCTACTCTCCGAGTTGAAGAGAGAAAAGCTATGGCAACGTTGCAAGATACTTGCCTCGTCGCCGAGCTGTTTTTTGCGACGTTGCGCAAAAAAAGGGGCTATTCAAGAGATCTGAAATTCTCAATTGTAAAGAGAATTTCAGATAATGTGGCTGACGCGAACTCTATTTCAATAAAAAATCATACATAAAGAAATTGTTCAATGTTCAATCGAGACCGGTGACAGTCATTTCAAATTGGATAGGTCAATGGTATTGCGCATGGTTAACATACTATCGATGTACGCGATATTTGTTTTTAAAACAAAAAAGAAAACAAAATGAAAAGCAAATAAAAGATAAGCTTATCCTTATATCCGAAAAAATATTATGCAACTTTTATCAAAAAATGTCAATTCCCGTCAAGCTGAAGAGCTATGCTGTATCATTTCTACAATAAAATGTTCAAGTTTCTCGCGATCGTCAAAAAAGATCATTTGCACAAAGGAAAAGTTCATCAAATAGCCGGTCCGAAGAAGCACAGGCCAAGCAGGCGCACGCGGCCAAGCGAAATGAAAATGGGGGAGGTGAAGTAGCGGTACGGCAAGAAGCACAGCCTTGCGGTTGGAATACCGCAACAATATGGCCGAACTGGAAGCACCACCGTGCCAAAATGGCTAGAATCGCCGTTTCAACGCACCGTACTCGGTTATGATCATCGTGTAGTACGTATCGTTGAGCGAAAACCAGTTTTTTCAAAATAGCCAGATCGATGAAGTTGATTTTGAACAGAAAATATGAATTCGCGTACGCGATGTGCGTCGTGGCACCATGTTCGATCTAGGGGGAAACGCCCGTATCTGGTAACAAGCATTGGAACACTTTATAGAACTTCACGAAAACAACCACTGCTACTAACTTGCGCATTCTTAAAAATAAACACAACTAATACATAAAAAAACAAAACTACAAATCTACGTAATTTCTTTTGAGAAATAATGATGAGGATTAATAGACTCACCTAAAGTAATTAATTAACTTTCAGTCTATGAGTAAAACGGAAACAATGAGCGTGCGGTGCTGATCACAGTGGAAATTCTGAATTATTTATTTATTATACGTATGCCGAAAATACGAAATTATAATCTTAAAATCAAGCCGGCCGTAAATGACGCGCGCGGCCTCGCGCTACTCTCGATCTGCACTCGACGCCGAGCGGACACACAATGGCGGCTAACGCGGCGACGAGCTCGAACTCTGTTCATGCCGAGTACGCGGCCTGTACGAGAAGCAAGTTGGCGCGCGAGGAGAGGGGAGAGAGTATACTACCATTCGCAGTACGACGTTTGCATGTGTGCGTGTGTGAGCGCGCTCGCGCCGGCGCGAATATAAGCGAGACTTCATGCATGTATGTATGTATGTATGTAGAGCCGAGTTGCTGTAAAGAAAGCCTAGCAGCGACGGCAGCGTAAAAAAAAATTAAGCAGAAAAGGAGAACGTCGGTCGATGGGGGGAAACTGCCGGGAAAATGGAGGGTCTCTCGCGCGGCAGGCTCACCGCCGCTTTGCCGTTGTATAGCTCGTGCTTTATGGATAGAGAAAGGATTAAAACGATATTTGGGCGGGCGAGCCAAAAGCTTCTTCAACCGTCTTCGCTCGCAATTATTATTATGCCGAGACTCAATGACACGAGCTAGGACGAGCGGAGAACGTATTTCACGAAAATTCTTCACCTCGAAAAAAAAAAACAATGGGGCTCGGGGATTCGAATTCCATCTGTGAAAAATAACGATCGTCGTCCTATTATAATGGTTTCGAGCGCGTTTGTACACGAAAGGAGCCTCGTTCGTCTCGAACTCTCTTTGTTCTAATCGTGCGCCTCAGCGCTGTCGAGAACTAAACGAAACGAAACGTAAAAGCATGGAAGAAATTTTATCTTGCGCTCCGCACGTGCTGACGATATATTTATAGGTTCAAAATTCGATTTCCTTGCTCGGCAGCATAGTGCAACTGTCAAATGTGTTCCGCACGTTTTATACTGGCGGCACATCAATAAACGCACACAGACGTGTGCATCGGCACAATACTACACAAGATATAGATATCCACGGAAGCACGGGTTACATAATACCAAAACATTGCCGTATATCGCGTATATATAGTATTTCGCACATATATATAGGAATAATAATGAAACATAAACGTCAACACACGCGGTCGGGTGTACGTGCTTCTCTCTCGCTACTCGGCTTGCGAGGTTATCGATCATGCGCGCCCGACGTGCTTTCAATCAATATATAAAATTCGACTTTCCGATACAGAAAAACAACGACTCCCGTGTCCTCATCCAAAGGCAAAGTCGCTTCGGCGCAGCAGCACGCCATAGAGGCACACGGACACAAGTACACATCCCGCCGGGACTGGCTCGATGCGTGCGAAAGAGGAAAAAATCAATCGTGACCGCCGAGGTCTCGTGCCTCTGCCTGCCGCATGATGATGATGCTGCTGATGCTGAACATGGCTGCCGCTCGTGGGGCCGATCATGCCTTTGGTGCGCGGTGCGTTATGTTACAAGGCATAAAGAGTAGCTATATATATATATTTTCAGAGGAGCAACATGGCGCTGGGGCAACTGCCGCCGCAGCCGCGATAAGTAAGAGTACCGTTGAGTCGTCGAGAAGCCGAGGTTATAAAACACCGGTGGTCGCGTGCACACACTTTATCGCGAACTCGAAAGATCTCGCTCGTGCACGATAGAGAATTCCGCACGTCCGAGGTTGTGAGAAAGAGAGAAAAATGAGGAAAGTCGCAAAACATTGACTCACCTTGGCACGAACTTCAGCGTAGCTAGAGTATCACAGCGAGATCAGGACACCTGCCCCGGATCTCTTCCAGTAACGTTTAAATATATATAAAAGATTTATAGATATAATATATCTAAAACAAAAACGAGCTTTGAGCCAGTTGGTAGAAAGTTAAGCGAAGCTCCTCTCCTTGGTCGCTGCTGAACACCGTGCTTATGATGAACTGTGTGCGCACCGCTGGTCAGTGTGGAAGTGATGCGCGACGTTTATGGCTGGCTGAGGCCTGAGTCGACGACGATGGGCGCCGCTGGTGCTGCTCACTGCTGCTGAGATGTTGAGGCGCTGGCTTAGCGTAGCTTATAGCTATACGTACATTATGTATAAAGCTGCGCGCGACGAGCCGAAAACCAGGCGATGTATGCCAGACGCCAGATGCGCGTCCAGATGCGCACACGTATTATATATATTGCTACTAGTTCATTCGCTGAACTTCCCGATACTTGGGCTGCTTGCCTGCGAGCCTTGTGCATGTACAGCGCTGCCAAGTGCCAACGGAAACTCGCTTGGGCGCGCAAGCTTCGAATCACGTTCTCTCTCTCTTTCTCTATCTCCGTCTCTCTTTCCTGCTGGGCCGTCTCGTTCGGAAAAAACGTGCGGCCTATTTTCTCTCTGTACGGCCGTTTCCTATTGTACAGCTTTCGCTGGCACGAGGATTTTTGGCTCGATTGTGCTGCTCTTCTTTACCGTCTCGATTCGAATTTTCTCAAGTGTCATTTGTCGTCCTCTCTCTCCGTGCGCGCGCATTATATCGACTTTATATGTATACCTATATATGTGTAATACAGGTACGGAGCGGAGAGAGACGGAGAAAGAGAGAGCTTACTCCGAAAAGTCGTAGGTAAGCGTTCAGGGCCGTATTCGCCAATTCGCAGCAACAGCAGCCTGTCTGAGACCTACATTTGTGCCCGCGGCGGAGCTCTCGTCCATTGACGTAACGGGCTTTTCACGCGAGCGAATCGCGCGCGCGCTAAGTACGGCTTTTTTTCGAGATTCTTCAGAGCATACTAATACGTACTACATAGAAACGCGTCACCTTACACGTTCGCTGATTCATGCTGCGGCAGTGAGCTTCGATTTCGTTTATAACGCTTATTACTCGGATAGAGAGGCTTTCGTATGTAATAATTTTTTTCGGCGTCGATGGAATCGGAATATTGTAAAAAGCGCTGCGATGTAAGCTGCGTTCATTTTTCGACACTCGCAACTTCGCTCCTTCCTTCTTTCTTTCTCTCATTCGAAGCAAAAGAAAAGAATGAAAAGATGGCGTGAAAGAGGGGCCACTCTTTTTCTCTATAGGCATACGGTTAAGGGCTTAGGGCATGCTTATTTATTTGATACGGCTCTGCGCTCTACTACGACTACTACCATGCTATATGGTTATACACAAGTCGCTTCGCTGCTGCAGGGCCATCGATCTGATGGACTGGCTGGATGACTGTATGGTATATATACGAGCTCTACTATACATGCGCTGCATAACTTGCATGCAAAGACGCGGAGGAAACTTGAGCTGATGTTGCTGGTGTGCTGGCCCATACGGCTCGAGATATAAGCGAGACGAGCCATCGCGCGCGGGGCCTTTCTCTTTTTTATAATATTAAATGAAATACGACGTGCTTCTACGCTCGTCGTCGTCGCTGCTCGACCAGCAGGAAAATATTTCGGAGTTATTTTTTTCCTCCTTCATCGCGTGTATTTACTTATACTTACATAAAGTATAAACTGCTTATATCCGCTGCGATGCGTTATAACTCGTATTACATTATCGTATGCAGTGCGTAGCAAGCTGAAAAGCTCCCTACTCCGCAAAGCCTGCATGCTAGGGGTTAGCAAAAACCGCCAGTTTGTACTGCAGAAGCAGCAGTGCCCGAGCGAATTTTCGGAGCAATATAATCATCATAATATTAAGCGAGGACCGCGCCATACAAAGACGGGCGCGCTCGATGACTTGGATGAAAGTTATGTCGAGCTTCAAGTTGGGTCGTCGAGTACGCACTGCACGACAAGTTGGAGAAAAAGTGCTTCGCCATGCCCCGCGCGCACAGCTCTCGCATAGCAGGCGCATGATTTCCCATGATGTCGGGGCTCTCTTGATGATTCTAATTTCTATGTAGCCTCTATGCGCCACCGTAGCTCCTTTCACCTCGCTCGTAGCACGTACTGAATAGCCAGTGGTTGTATATATGCTACATATCGTAGCTTGACTACTACTTACGCATTTCCATGGTTGTATATGCGACTGTATACGTACGTATACGTTTACGATACGTATATACGTCGTTTACTCCGCTGCGGCAGCACTCGGCAGCAGCAGCATAAGTAAGCTAACGCAGCAGCCAACACGTGGGAGTAGTTGGACGTAAATAATAAACGTATAATCGCTGCGTTATAGGCGCTCATATATGTACGTCTTCTATTCACCGTTGGAAAGCGTACATGTACCTAGCTTATAGCTACACATAGAAAGCTTGAACGTAAACCCAAAGAGCCTAGGCATAATCTATCTGAAGCTATCTATCTCTCACAACTGTGAATTGGAAAAGCAGCTTCCCGCAAGTTCCACGTATTCGATGTACACATAAGCTGAACATATGCCGCCGCCTCGCGCGACTTGTTGTTTCATCTGGATGAAACGTGTTCTAATTTCGAAGTTTTGGATACACGGCCGGCGCCTTTACGTGGCTCGCTTGCAACTTACCTCGCGATGTATTGTAACGTACCATGTTGCCATGTAGAAAATTCTGGAGAGAAATGGCGCGCTATGCAGCTGTTTCCCGAATATTATGCGCGCGTACGTATGGTGCAGCTGCAGTGTGCAAAAGTTAATACTTGTCGAATGAAATGAAATCGCACCTACGCTGCATCTTCATTGTTCGCAGCTCGCGGACTTTTATACAATTGTTCATCGTGGTATATAACACGAACAAACGAACGGCTGCGGGCAGCTGAAACTTATCGTATTTTTTTCATACACAGCGTGTATACCTAAACATTGAGTTACGGTGTTGAATTATAATCGCGAAAATGAGCGGGACTTTCACGCGGCTAGCTGCGTGGTATTTCGCCAAGACTGCACACACGAGCTGTACATGAATGCGGGATGCCTGTGTAGTATTTGCGCTTGCTTGTGCTTATACTTATGTATTGCTTGCGTCAACGAGACCTGCTCCGCGTGCAGCGCATTATGTAGCATATTCGCGTCGTTTTATCCTGCCACGGCGACTCTCCGCGTCAAGCTGCACTGCACGATTTGCATCCGAGTACGAGAGAAGGAGGCTGCGGTTGGCTTGCAGCTTGAAAACGGAATATGCTACGATGTTAAATTAAAGCTTCGTGAATCAAAGGGCACGAATGAAGGACTTTTCAGCTTCCTTTCTAATTTATTTCGAGCGATGTACAGATTAGAGAAACAAAATAATTATTCCATTGAAGCTTTGACTATCAATTTGTTCAAACTAATAAGAAACTTTTTTCTTCGTTTGGCGTTAATTTATATTTTCGACGCAAGCGAATGTGTTTTCTTAATTCGAGACTCGAAAGTATAGTCGCGACAATCACCTTACATTCAAGAACTATTCAGAGAGAATGACTGAATTCTTGAATCTTAATAAGGTACTAAAATTTTAAGCTTAGCTATGACCAAAGACTTGAAAATGAAGATGAAGAAAAATTATAAATTTAACAATCTTAGAGAATTTAATTATTCTACTCAAATTCCTGAACTTACAGATCATTTTCACATTTACATTTTATAAAGATACTGATTAAAATATTGAAATAAACAGATTTTATAACTTTCAGTTGACAAGGCACATAAATCATAACGCAAAATATTTACATAGTAATAACATATCTCAATTGTATTAAGGAGATAATTTACTATTCACCATCTGCACATGTAGTATTATAACAAGAATACGGTATCCAAAATGTTTATACAATCTCCTAAAACAAATATAAACATCAGATGTTCAAAATCATTGACTGTGAGTCATTTGAGTATATTTAGTGAGCAATAAAATGTGCAAATTCTAATAAAGAATTAAAGAACAAACTGAGAAATATTGATGAACATTAAAAAATATGGGACAAATACTTTAACATAAATCATTTTCAAATGAACGATTTGTGTGCTTCAAAACTTCGAATTTCTTCAAAACTTAATGTGATGTTTATAAACAATCTTGTTATAAATAACATTGTTGTCTATAAAAATATGAAAAACCAAGTGCTGAGTCAAACAGTAAGGTAGAATATTTTGGTTCTATAAAATTTTCTTCCCCATCTTAGAAATCTAAAATAAATATACGATTAATTGAAACCTAAGTGGATGAACAGTGCATACAAAGCAGTTGTGTAAACAAATGATTAACATACCTAACTCACAGGTATATCATAAAATTAGAAACACATGTAATGGAAGAGTGATGGTCATTAGCTAAATTTTTTTGATTTTTATTTCATTTGATTTAATTAACAACAAATTCTCAAAAATATTCATATGATGATTTGCAACAAAAAGTATGCATTTTCATGAAATTAAATATGAAAAATAAAATGATGATGTGAATAAAAATATAAATTCATAAAATTCATAAAATAGATTTTCATGGTCTTTCTAACTTGAAACATCAAAAAGTATTCTGGATTTCATGTTGATAGAACAGCTACGAAGATTTGAAGGCAAGAAAATAAATTGATCGTATTTAAATTAATAACATAGTAATATGTTAACTATTAAAGTTACATAAACAGCATTGACTCAGGTTATAAATATATCTTATAATTGTGTATATTAGTAGTGTGAGTACCTAAAAAGCAAACATTTAATCTTGGGACTTGAATAAAAACAAAATTTTTAGATGCACGATGAAAAAATGAATTACACTCATATTTCATCATTTTTACTTTGAAGTTTTAAAAATTTCAATTCCTTTATACACATGTGATGCATGTAAATTAATTTTTGTTTATAAGTCAAAATATTGATTAATGAATAATCATTTGAATTTTGAGTTTGATCAGAAAACAAAAAACATGAGACTAAATAAAGATTCAATCGGTTAGGTAATTCCAAATTTCCTCATAATGAAAATTAATGTCTTAATTACTTGGACATGATAAGAATTAAACAATTACTGATCAACTGGTTCATCATTTTAATTGTTTTTCTATCAAAATTATAACTTCATGTATGATACAATATGTAGCATTGTACACCTAGATATCAGGATTACTGTAAAAATTTTTCCTCGAGGAAATATCTGTCCACGTCATTGGGAAAAATTCATAAGTAAATCTGTGATTTATGTGTTTAAATTCGATGTAAAATCATCGTTTTGCCATCCGAAATAGCAAACATGTAAACAGGTGTGTGAAAAGAACGCACAATCGTCTGCTATAATCGACAGTTGTTTTGCGGCAAGTGCACGACGCAGAGATTTATGAGCAAAAAAGTGTAATGGCATACGCATAGCACGACTGCTAACGAAGACTAGTACAGCTCCCATTCGAGTCTTATACCAGCGGATGTCTCAAAGAAATCCAATACATCCTATCGTCGGGATACTATCGACGCATCGAAACGTACGTGCGGGTAACTGGGACCGGTGATAGCTACATTACCGACCGCTAGGTATTCGAAATATTCTCAACCGTCAGTCGTGCGCTCGAGCTTGCAGTGTCCGCTCCAGAGTCGCAGGTCACTCGATTCAGCATGTTCGAAACGAGCTTTTCGAAATATCGAGGAAGGAAAAACGAGAAAACGTTCGTAGAAGGGGGAGGTCTAGATCCTAATACAATGAGGCGCACTACAGCAGCAGTAGCAGCAGCTACACTGGATACTGTTATATGGATCGTCCGACAAGTGCCCGGGAAAAAGGACTCCAAGGACGCGGAAGGATAAAGCTGCCATAAGGTATATACTATATATGCGTTGGGCAACATTCCGAGAGACGAGCACAGGATAAAAAAAACGCGTCGTGCGCTCGCGGGAGCGATACGTTTTTGCTCTTTGAAGTTTGTAATACGATGTCGCACTGTACAACATCCACTACGGCGAGAGTGAGTCCAACGATATCTAATATCTCAGATATTATATACTTACTAAAATGCACTCTCTTATCCGCCGTCAATCCGCGTCGTTGTCGTCGGGCTGATAATGGAGAGATTACGTAAAGTCAATTTTTGTTTCTCTCTCGTTCGCGTCATATAATGCGCGCACTGCACTATCCGCACGCACATTATAGAGGAAGAGAGAAGCGAGCGACATTGTGTGTACATAAGTATCCCCGCGAAAGAGTCGATAAACGTACTTACACTATTCTCCGTGACCTTGTTTTCAGCTGCGATCGTCGTCGTCGTCGTCGTCGTCGTCTTTGCACGTCGAGCGAGAGCTGCTGCTCGCGGAGCGGGTATTTTCCGAAGCGGTACGTGCAGTGCCGTTCTTTGCACATTGTTTGTATTTATAGCTATAGGTATAAAGTTTTAAGGCGCGCGCGGCGTATAGATCGAGAAGCTGAAATCGCAAGTTTTTCGCGCGCCAACGGCTCGGCAACAGCAGTCCGGTAGTAATGGTACACATAAGTGGAGACCGTTATACTCTTCGATTATCGCCTTTATTATTGAAATATTTTTCGTGCCGACTCTTTTGTAGCGAGATCGTCCGAGAGACTCGGTAATGATGGGATCCTGGGCCGTCGATCTTCTTTCCCTCCTCCCCCGCTCAAGAACTTTCGGTTCGTCCTATCGAGCGCTCGGGTGCCGCACGGGAACGAGAAATGGAGCATAGTGCAGAGAAGATAGTGCACAAAAAAGGAGCTGCGCTCGCAGGGAGAGAAAAGTAAGTATAAGCAGGACACGATTGCTATATACCAAGGCGCCCGCGAACGAGTGTACGTCTGTATGGGTATATATAAAGACAGAGAGCTGCTGCTGCTGCCTGGCGAGCTTATAGCGTATAAATGTGTATGTGTGTATAACGGCACATCGCCTTTTGTAGGTCAGAAACACACAGACGAGCGAGAGACTTTGAGATGCGAATATATATACGTAGAGAGAAGGAGGAGAACGTCTCGGAGCAGAGCTCGCCTTTCGCTGTGCGATATATGTAAGGCGGCATGGACTTGTGTGCAGCGCGACTTGCACGTTACACAGTACTATATCTATGGAGCACCAAGGCAGAGAGCTGCATGTGTGCGAGGAGAACTGCTGCTGTGGAAGCAACTGTATATAGAGGTAGTAGAGAGAGAGATGCATGTGTACTCGTGTACGTAGCTCCGCGGGTAGGGGTAACTTTTTCGCGCTACAAGCATAGAGAGTACACGGAGCAGCAGTACACACAGACGCACGAGCGAGCTCTCGGTGCAGAAAAGCCGTATACATAGTATAGCACGGGCAAAAGGTGGTGGTGTTCTCTCTCGCGCGCGGTAGTGGGGAAGTCGCTCGCGCGCAGGAGCAACGGGCGCGCGCCAGCCGAGAGCCAGAGCCGCCGCGCCAACTTTCTGCTGGCTGCAGAAACGTCGACGAAAGAGAGAAGAAATAAGGAGGAGAGAGAATATCGGGGGCCACAACAAAATCGCTTAATCGTCTTCGCGACACCGTGCGAGCTTGACGCGCGCGCGCGCTTGCCCACTACACTATACACTGCTGCAGTCGTCTGCAGTTTGTTGCATATTTCACTCCCCCCGTGTCAGTCGTCTGTTTACCTTCTCTCGTACGTCGTCGTCGTGTGTCAGTTCCGAATTGTCATTGTCGTACGTTTTCTTGTTTGTGCTGTGCATGGATATATTTCATTGATAAAGAAAAAAACGACAACACGGCTGCTTCAGTTCGTTCGTCGTTGGCACGCGAAGAAGACGACGAAAAAAAGACGTCGACCACGATGTGATGCTCTCATGACGCTTTTCATGTTTTCTTCGTTCGAGCCGCTGCTGCGATAGTAGCTTCTCTCGCGATCGAGTGTCCGCGTGTGCACGTCTCTATGTGAGTGTGTGTGTCTGTGTGTGCGTGTGCGTTCATTCACAAGTGTCAAAACAACCACTCAGTGAGTTCGTGTGATTTCTGCCTTTGACTCGCAACACGGCGTTTCCTCAAATCTATGACTTTTATCCCGCAATTGCATCCCGCGAGTTACCTTATCAGTGCAGTTTTTTGTTGCTCTTTCGACGTCACTTTTTCATGTTTTTGTGTTGACAAGTGTCGAGGATATATATAAATATACGATATACATATTATTAAAAATATATTCAAAGAAATAAACGTGCGCGCAGAACGAGAAGGAGAGATACACGAAGAGGGGCAATGAGAGAGACGTCGCGGCGTCCGAGGTGAGTTATCGCGCGATTCCTCGTTCTTTTTTTTCCGTTTTTTTTTCTGTATTTTTTCTTGAAATTTTTTGTCTTTTCCGAAATGCAACGAGCACACGCGCACGGCTACATTCAAAAGTTTAAAAATAAACTCTCGAGGATTACTTCCGATTATCGCGACTGATAAGCGCTCGCGCTTTATTTTCTCTTCTTTTTTTTGTGTCGTTCTGCACATCGTCAAAGAAAAAGAGCGAGCGATTCTTGTGTGTATGCGCTATGTTACACGTTACAAGATTTACATACTGACTCGCACGCGCGCGCGTGTACGCAATATATACATATAACAACGCGATCAGCTGAGTCAATTGCATCTCGGAAAAATCGCATGCGGATCTCTTCGCAGCTCTCTGCTCTGCCTGCTACACATTGCGTCTGATGTGTGATGTTGATGTTATTTTTCCGCAGGAGATCGTCGTCGTCGTCGTCCACGATGTTGCCGCGCGACGAAGCTGAGTCAACGATAACTAATCTACCTGTGTATAAGTCGTCGATGTCGTATTAAAAAAAAAAAAAGAAGCGAAGAAAAAGTAAGCAAGAGAAGCAGAGGCGAGGGAAAACGGTAATCAGCGGAGAATCGATCCGTGGCTATTGTAATCGAAGCGAGGAGAGAAGAAGAAAAAGAAGAAGAAGAAGAACACGACTAGTTGTAGCGACAGCGGCGTCAACATGGTCAGGTAAGCGATCTCTCCTTAGCGTATCATCGTGTATAAATATACTTTCTGTCTAATTTTAATTAGGGGCCCCGGTGAGCCGCTAATTGATCAATTAAAGGCCCAACCGAGGCATCGTCGCGAAAGGATATATAATAATAAACGCGTACGCAACGGTTCAGCCTCTTTTTAAGGCTTTTTACCGCGTAATAATACCGCTGTTTTAACCGATTCGCTGCGTTGATGCGCGCGAGATGCCCCTTTCCCCCCACCCCCGCCCTGCTCCCGTAGTAGCGCGCGTTAAACCGCGACAAACTCCGAGAGCTGCATGAGCATAGTGTATATAATAGAGGCAGAGCAGCACATGGTGATAATAACTATCGCCACGTGCATCGTCGGTATATATATACGCGTATATAAGCGCGCAGAAAACCTCTACTATACAAAACAGAGAAAGAGAGAGAGAGAGAGAGAAAATGAACGAGAGAAAGAGATAAGCGAGGTCTTTTTATTCTTTTCTTTTTTTGCTTTGTAAGCGCGAGTGGAGTTGCTTCTGCTGCTGCTTTTGCTGCTGTTTGCTATATATAAACACGCGCGCTCGTTTACATCTCTCTCTTGGAACGTAAATAAAAGTAAATCCTTATCGCTGCTTAATAAGCCGCACTTGACACTTCGGAGGCTAATCGCGTTGCCGAGCCGCCGCCACCACCGCGAGCAACAAGTTACGCTCCAACGGATTTCTCCGTCTCTCTCTCTCTCTCTCTCTTTCGTAACGCTCGCACACCTCCAACGTTGTGCGCAGCGACAGCTTACGGCCAGGAATTCGCCGAAATAGTCCCGAATTTCATTGAATGATTACGGACGAACTTTTGGAAAAAACTTGAGCTTTTTAGCTTTAATGCAGCTTAAAATATCCGGAGTAGAGAGCTTCGCTCATGTGCAGAGGTGTGCGTTTGCGTCACGCACTCCTGACGTCAGTTTTCGCCTCCTCTCCAGCCACCTCTTGCGAATAGCAACGTGCACCTGACGTTTACTGAAAAAAAAGCTCAGACAGAAGGAGAGCTTTCAATCAAATTCGTTGATTTTCGATGAATTATTCGTTGATTTTCGATGAATTAGCTTAGATAGTAGGAGGAGGATCAGAGAATCAAAGGGTCGTCATCGTCGCACCGTTCTAAGCTTTAACAGGCCAATTAAGGAAACTCGGAAGTAGTCGGAGAGAGAGAGAAAGACAGAGAGAGAAATGCTAATGAGGCGTTAGCATATATACACAAGCCGCACATCGGCGGGGATCTCTCCCTACTCGAATCGCTTTAGTACTTTTAAAATACCCGCGTGCTTGTACACATACAGATGCCGGCGTTTAACAGGTTGTTCCGATTCGCTCTGCTAAGAGAGAAATGGGTTGTGTTTATATATATATACGAGGGATTATATATGCTGCGAAGCATATTAGCGTATTGTAATTGCGAATGCGAGCTGCAAACTGCACCGCACACAATCAACGCACGCCAGAGATAAGGGGCACTTGAAATTTTTATGAGAAAGTAAAATTTTCGGGACGATCGTGGAGCAGCGACATTAACCCAGTGACGTCGTTGCCGACGGGCCAAATTAAAATAACGATGGCAACCGAATATAAAAGAGAATAAAAAAGAGAGAGAGAGAAAAAGGAATAAAAGAGAAGTTGGAAGCTCGATCGGCAAAAGCTACCATGGCGGAACCGGCAAGTAGGCCACGACCGGAAACCTGCTTCTCTCTCAAAGCGAAACGCGCGTGTGTGCATGCGCAAGGTTTCGACTTACGAATAATATAATATCAAGAACCTCGTGCCCAGCTTTTTCTCTCTCTCGCTCACTCTTTGACTCGGTATAAACAAATTTTTTAAGCGTACTCAACTTTTAGGAGTCGTTAGCGAAGCGCTTTATTACGTTCTCGTTTGACTTCATCGTGTACCTGATAGATCTGCGTACTGCGTACACGCGTATTATGAGCACGTAGCCGAAATAAAAACGAATTATTACGACTTTTTCCCCCTCTCTCTTTACCTCCGAATTAATAATAATGTTATCTCTCGTGCGGGGCGACGTGCTCCGTTAACAGTGAAAACAGCCTCTGGGCTAACTGTATTCTCTCTCGTGTTTTTAATTCCTTTTTTTTATTTCTATTGTTAAACCGAGAGAGAGAGAGAGAATTTTGCGCAGAAAGAAAAGTGTATTGTGCGCGCGTGCATTAATTTCTCAGTATAACAGGTGTTTGATTCAACACTTTTTTTGCGTTCACTCGCAAAAGTAAGAGAGAGAGAGAGAGAGACCCGTTGCTCTCGAGTACCTACACATACTCGGGACGTTTCCACTTGGGAGTGTGTGTATGTTTTTTTGACTGCTGCTCTGAGCGCGCTGAGGGCGCATCGATGTAAACAAGTACAGCGGAGCTCCTCCGACATACTTTGGTTCACCACTCCACGAAGATAATTGATATATGATTCAACACCTCTCCGGACTCATCATACGCAGATTCGATCCAAGAAAGTCCTTCTTTCCATCCATCCTTCGTGTACCACCTATGTATATCTCTGTGTACGTACGTAATATTGCAATTTCTCTTTTTTGCGCGTTCGCACGATGACGACGATGATGCCGCTGCTGCTGCCTTGCGAGCTACATATATAATGCGTGGGTTTTTTTGCTTAAACTTTTTTTTATTGTTGTTGCTGTTTGCCCGGGACATTCGGTTTCTGCTGATAAAAGAGAAATGTGCTTTATATACTACCTAGAAAGCAGGTCTTTCTCTCATTCTTTTTCTCTCTTTGCTTCTCTCTCTCTCCGTCTCCCGTTCGTCTCCCGTTCTTTTCTTTTTCTGCCTTGTCTTATTGCCCCGTTCGCGGGGCATACGTGTGTGTGTGTGTGTGTGTGTGTGTGTGTGTGTGTGTGTGTGTGTGTGTGTGTGTGTGTGTGTGTGTGTGTGTGTGTGTGTGTGTGTGTGTGTGTGTGTGTGTGTGTGTGTGTGTGTGTGTGTGTGTGTGTGTGTGTGTGTGTGTGTGTGTGTGTGTGTGTGTGTGTGTGTGTGTGTGTGTGTGTGTGTGTGTGTGTGTGTGTGTGTGTGTGTGTGTGTGTGTGTGTGTGTGTGTGTGTGTGTGTGTGTGTGTGTGTGTGTGTGTGTGTGTGTGTGTGTGTGTGTGTGTGTGTGTGTGTGTGTGTGTGTGTGTGTGTGTTTGTGTACCGTGTGGTGTGCGAATCTGGGTTACGCTGCTGCTGCTTGATGCCGCGCGCGCGCGAAACAACAAAACGGCGCTCACATATCCTTCGCCCGATTTCTCCTCTCTTTCTTTCTTTCTTTTCTTTTTTTTATTACGTTAATGTTTTATTATATCGTACGCACGTACACGCACGTACACTGCCCGAGAGACGTATTATACATATCATTGCCCTTCTCTTCCTTTAGCCCAAAATTTTCGCATCGTGTGTCTATCGCTTATTTACGTACGTACGGCAGTGAGTTTCATGACCTATAAAGTCACACGCTCGCACACACAGACGAGTAAATATTATACAAACACACACACAGAGATTTTCCCGTTCACTCCACTCGTTGCATATTATATACACGTATACGTATGTATTCGAGTACACGTAGGTATATATGATGATGGTATATATAAAAGTGAGAGAGTCTGCCTGCCTGGCAATGGCATCCTCGATTCTCTTTGTGTAGGAAGCTACTACGATCCCTTCTCTCTCTCTCTCTCTCTGGCTCTATTCCTCTCTCTTTCTCTCGGCTCTCTAACGTCCGAGATGATAGGGTCTCTCTCTCGCTCGCTCTTTTTCGCTTGTTATCTTTCTCTCTTTGCACGGGCCGTGGATATAACGTGTGGAGAAACTCCGCAGCAGCAGCGTCGGCGGTGGCGGTGGCAGGCAGTGGTGGCGACGAAACCTTACGCGCTCGTATAGCTCGTTGGGAAATCGGCCGTTGCACATAGCAGCGGCATCCATATCCACTCACATACATTCACACACACACATATATAACTCACACAACACACAGGGTGTTGTTCCTTTCACACGGCAGAAAGAGAGAGAGGATGGTACATGCGAAGTAGCAGCAGCAACTGGCAGAAGGAGGAAAAAAGATACGAGCGAATTCGCTAGGCGCACAAGTAGTCCAAGGCGAGAAAAAAGATCTCGAGAAAATGTGTGTGCAGAGAGATAGATTGAGAGAGAGAGAGAGAGAGAGAAGCAAAGGAGGAAAAAAGGAAACGCATTGAATCTACGAATGACGAAAGAAAAGGTTATTACGAGACTATTTGGCGAGCTCGCTGCGCGCACACGTGTGCGTGTGTGTGGGTATTTGCAGGTGTTATTACGCGTTTGATTTATAGCGTGCGTGTACAGCGCCGACGACTGGCTGTGCCGCTGCCGTTACCACCACGCAAATCGTAGAAAATCTCATTCGTTTAATGAAAATATTCATGGTGAAAAGCCTGAACGATCCGGTGCTTACGGGGGAAAAGGACGAATAAACGACCAGAAAGAGAGAGAGAGAGAGAATATAGACGAGTCTAAGGAGGTCTTGTACTTGCGCGCTCGACTATCCTTTCAAATCGTTCCCTATAGATATACACAGATACACACATGCAACGGCTCGACGCTTGTCCTCGTTTTCTCGGTCTTAGCTTCGTACGCGAGCTTTATCTAGCTCTTTGCATCTTTTTCTCTCTCTCTCTGTAGCTCTCTGCTATATAAGCCTGAATATACGGCGCTGAGCGCATACTATACTGCGCCAGGCTCTCTCGCCTGCACTTTTTTTCGCCAGTTGCCATTTTCTAATTCGCATATAGAAAACGTATATAAGAGACCAAGGAGTCTCGTGCTGCAGCGAGCGCGAGAAAAAGAAATCTTGCAGCGCGCAGTAGCCTTGCAATCGCAACGTTTCTCATTCTCTCTCTCTCTCTCTCTCTGTCTCTCTCTTTTTCTCCTTCTCCTCTTGTGCGCTTCTGACTCAGAGTGAAGTACATATATAAGCGC